AACCACTTTCAGCCTCATATCTCCCGCACCCTTATAGCTATCGAGACGCAACCACCCCTATGCACGAATGGAGACTTGGGGCTACCACCACATACAAACACCATTCACGTACGATGTGTAGTTTTTGCGGAAAAGTGAAATATAGGGACATACATGTCCATTATATATATATATATATATATATAGATAATATGTGACTTTTTAATACATATTAATATAAATATATAAAATTACTTGTGTTGAATGATTGACAGATTGATTCATTATCTCCCAGAACAAACCGCTGAACCTAAAGAGGTGAAATTTGGTACACAGTTAATATATGTCAAAAAAAAAAAAAAACGCACACTAAGAAGGGATTTTTTCGAAATTCCTCCTCGGAGAAGAGGAAGAGCATTAAGTCTTTACCGGAAAAACCATATCTACTCTACTATTTTAGATATGATTTTTGTTTTCAACTACGTTTAGTCTTCATTGAGTACTTAGGTGTATTAAATTGATAACATTTCAGACATTGTTATAAATATTTTTATATATTTTGATTTTTTAACCAAACGTTTGAACCGTTTTAAATTCGAATTTGTTATTGCGTATCGGTTCGATTATAGAACGTTTGTATACGTACCAGAAAATTATCAAATTGAAAACAGTTCGTTTGATTTTTTGCAATTCTTATCATTCTCAGCGGTAGATGTTATATAACAATTACTATGCTTGTTGAAATACTGAATATAAATGGAATTTGGTTGCAAAATCCGCGCGGGCGAAGTCTCGGGTGACATATAGTGTTATATATTTATCGAAAATTTCTTAAATTCTGCAAGAAGCATTATTTATAAGGGGATTGATGCTATTCAATTTTTGTACTTAAAGGTCGTCGGGTGGAAAGATAAACGGAGTCATGAGTCATGTCGAGTTGGCTAGGACTTTAATATATGATTCTATCGCTTGTTTTTCCTTTCTTAAAAGAAAAAAATAGTTACATAACGATGAAAGTATTCCTTCAGTATAATTATTATTCAGTACATTTTACTACTCATAAAATTAATTTGCTTTTCTTATAGTTATAAAAAAAAACATATAAAATTGTTATTTAATTATTATTTAACAATACTAATAAGTAAACGATGCATTAAAACAGTAGTTTCGATATTCCTCTGTCTTCAAATACAGAAAATATAGGTTCATAATTTTAGTATGTAAATGAATTGTATGCAACAAATCTGCATTTAACTAATAATATCAAAATCATTTCGATTTATATAATATAAATGTCATAAAATATAATATTTTGTTTCGTACGAAATTCAAACTTATAACACATTATAAGTTTGAATGTCATGATTGACTTTTGTATAATAAATTTAAACTGTATGTATATTATAATAGTTGAAGGTTTATAAAAAATCATCTATATAGACTTTTAACATATTTTCTTGTTTTGATTCGAAATGTTTAAACATTTTCTGCAGCATGTTTTAGAAGTTTCTTATAAAGTCTCTTCTAATTTATTAAAATTATTATTTCGTTAATTATTTAATAAAAATTATTAACCGAAAAATAATTAATAATAAGTAAACGTTATAAGAAAATTAATTAAGATTAAATTATCAACTTGTCTAATGAAGAAATGAAGAACCATAAATTATCCAAGTTCACAGTATTTATTCTCAGATAGATGAACTGAAATTCACCAAACTCTGCAAGAATATGTAGCAACTGTCTGGCTTTATATTCAAAAAACAGCACCCAAATTGTCAAAATACCTTTTTGTTATTAAACGTCGAAATTTAAGCGTTTTTTGATTACATCTTATCTGAGAGTAGATTATATTTAAAACAAAATAATTTATTCACGTGCCAGCCATCTACTGATTATTATCACACGAAACTCATTAAAGTCTAACGTGGAACTTTTTCCAAAAACTTAGACAACAAACTGCAAACGTTATCCCAGTAGTCTTCGCTTCACCCAAGCGATAGTTATTATTAAACAGTAAACTATATGAATTTGAAATAATCATGAATGTCATATAACAACGAACTATAAGGCGTGAAGTGTCCACCAGTGGGCTAACGGTTCCGTTCCACAAACACCAGGAGCAGTTCACGTCTCTCTAGGATGGGCTGGCCACGTATTGTTTTTCGGGTTTTCGGGTTAGTGTTAAAAAGATCTTACGAAAAATATTCCCCATAGGCAGATCACCCAAGTGTTGCATTGCTGTTACTAAACAAGCAAGAACAAGATAAAATAATAACAATTGTTGAAACACAAACAGTTTATTATACGAAATTTTCAGGTTATACTTCATAATTCTACTTTGAAATATTAATGCCTACATTTAAAGCTTTAAAATATTACACTAAGCATTAAACATATTTATTTATAAGTTTATTTTTTTCTATGTATTGAGCTCATATACAGTATTTTAATTCAACATTACAGTAAAAACGTTTTACTCTCTCACATTTATTATACTCACAAACTAAATATGCTAATTACAGAACAGAAATCTCAATGTTCATTATAAATACAATGCTACATAAGCTGTAAACCTCACAAAGTATTCTAGGAATTATATATTTTTGATAAATCAATAAATGAAGACATCACGTAAGAATAAATTCATGGATACCATTTATAACATTTAAGGTAAGTAATACTTTTTTTAAAATTCATTGTAATTTACATTTGAGCTTATAGTACTACAAGAATTGACTAGATAAGAATATCTTCCATTCGTTGTTTTTGTTATTATAAAGGTAACTATAGTAATTAGTATTTAATAATTTTTATTGTATAAAATATTAAATTGATATTATAGAAAATATTAATTATAAATTAATTTATAAAACATGATTATATCACAATGATATTAAAAATACAAATATAGTTTATGCCTTAAAGATTATTTCTTGTTTGCTATTTACTGTTCATTTATCATCAGATGATAGCTTGATATTATCTTTTAGACTCAAATATTGTTCAGTAGAAATCAAGTATTTGACTTCTCCAATTAAATCATCCTTGCTAAGAAGAGCAACAAAGCTTTTACTTGTTTTATGCAATTTCAGTTTATGACCTTCTGGAATTACTGCAGGATTCTCGATATCTTTGAAAAAATTATACATGTTGTAAGGAAAAACAGGGCAGTAAACATGTTTAGGAAGAAGTACACCACTTAAGAAAATTGTAAATTTATCCCATTTAAAGCTATTTATTAAATTTTGAATGAGATATACGGATTGACGAATATCACATATCTTTTCTGGAAAAGTTTCAGAATTAAATCTATCCCCTTCTGTCACGAATTTAATACTACCTTTCAAAAGTAGAAATATTTCTAATTTATCAGAATTTTTGTAAATGTTGTGTAAATGTATCAGCGTATTTTTAATTTTTTCATACAGATGTTTTGTGTCGGGAAAATGAAAATAAATTTGAGAAAGTCGAAAGTAAGGTAGCTCTAATATAGTTGTCATCATATCTAGACTTGCAAAATCAAAATATACTTTGGCATTTGAACAGAATAATTGTTTGTTGGTTATATTTTTAATTTCATTAACACATTCAAGCCAAACTATAGGATAATAAACAGTTTTTTGAATAGCATACATAAATTCATTTGAAAATTTTTCATCTCCACAAAGACCAATGAGAAAGATTATAACTACAAAATCGATATAATCTTTTCGGACGAGTTGTATTGAATGGTAATAAGAAAGACTGATAATAAAGTCGAGACAGATTCCATGTATAAAATCGAAACAACTAATTCCATCTAACTCAAAATACTGTGAAATAATATCTAATCCTAATATAAATTGGTAGTCTTTTTCTTCTGGAAACTGTTTTCTTAACTGTTTAACTGGTAATGTTACGAATTTCTGAAACTCGTACATAGAAGTGGGTATATCTTTTTTAGTCATTTTAGAAATTTTCTCCAAATATATGTTTCCCAATTTAACTAGTAAGTCTTCTCCATAGAAAAACTTTCCTTTTATTAAATTATGTTTTTTCCCCATTTTTCTCATATATCTTTTTATGACAAGACGAAAAATTTGAATCAACAAATCTGTCTTTGTTTGTATTTTGTAAAAGTATTTCGTTTGTGGTAGACAGCATAACATATGCAACATTAATGGACATTCAGCTAATGTACAATAAAAATGGCTGAATTTTATCAAGTTTATAAGTTCATCCCGTTTGCCATTATCATCATTAATAATTAATTTAATATACTTTTTTTTCAGTTCTTGTGAAAATCCTTCAATAATGAATCTCATATTTACGTTTTCTCTTATATTTTCGGCAATGTAAGGACGGCAAGTAACAACAATTGTCATTTGTTTCGAAATATAAAATGAATCTTTTTCAATAAACTGTATAATTAAATCTTTATCATTTGTTTCGTCGAATCCATCCAAAATGATTAATAAATTAAATTCTCTTTGTCTTAACTTATCTCTAGAATCGGTATCCGTGTTTTCACAGATACGTTGGAGAATTTCATCAGTTATACTTTTCTTTAATTCTCGCAAAATAACGACGACAGTAAAATCATAATGTCCTAAGTAATTGGTACGGGATGTATCGGCACCCCAATCATAAGCTATCTTCTTACAAAAGGTACTTTTGCCATAACCGGGATCACCAGTGACTAACATTACAACATGTCCGTCAACTGATTTTGGAAAAATATTAGTAAACTGAATAGTTTCTCCTGCCTTTTTCCCTAATAAATCTGCTTCCTGAACAGTAAGTTCGACGAAGTAGTCTTTTAAAGGAAATTCTTTATTTCTTTCACTCCACAACAAAGATTTCATGTAAGCATTTTTAGTTTTGTAGTAATTCATTAAAGATACTCTCTGTATCTGAAAAGATTCTGAAAAATATTATACGTATGAATATAATATTTTTATAGTTCATATTATATTTAAAAAATTAAGATTATTAATTTAAACACTACATCTGTAAATATGAAATACATCGAAAAACTCATCACTTTTTACACCGAGTGTAAAGTATTTTAAATATATGTTCAATCATTAACTAAACTTATTACTGCATTACCAGCATCATGAATAATATTGATCAGTTGTCGTTCTCTATCTTTCCTATTCTGATTGACATTAGTGTGAAAGAAGTGTTCTCATATAGGATGCAGTTGTGTGTAAACACTGAGCTATGATAGGGGTATTTGAGCTTGCACAAAAATGTAGCATGATGTGTCTGAATATTAGGAGGGTGTAGAATGTACAGATATTATTATAAAATGTGAAGAATATAATGCCTGAAATAATTTTTTGAATAGCTAATAGTAAATTGCAATAGTATAACAACTAATACTTGCTGAGATGCTGTTTAGTCAATTAATACATTAATGTATTCTAAATGTATTTCATAAGCCATGTGAATCTTGAATATAAGCTGTTACAAAACAAAAGTTTTGAATTACAGAAATTTTTGAATGTTTACATTGAAACTTATATTTTTACATGCGACTTTGCCAGCACAGACTTTGCAAGCAAACACAATGTGTAATCAGAATTTCAACAACCATAGTAATTGTTATATAATACCTACCACTGAGAGTGATGAGAATTGCAGAAAATCATACGAGCTGTTCGATTTGATCAATTTTCTGGAACGTTTAAAATCGTTCTATAATCGAACCAATATACAATAACAAATTCGAATTTAAAACGGTTCGAATATTTGGTTAAAAATGGAAATATATAAAAACATTTATTACAATGTCTGAAATGTTATCAATTTAATTCACCTAAGTACTGGACGAAGACTAAACTAATTCAATATGCAATGTTTTCTTTGAAAAACATTTATGGCAACTGGCTTTTTTTAAGTGTCAGTCGTGTGAAGAAATTACAATATTACAATCTTACCTAAGGTCGATTTATAATACTGGTTTGTGCATTTGATTCACTTTGTTAAACTTTAATAACCATTACTTCTACACATTTTCATATATATTTTTGAAATTTTATAGAGTAAATATATAATTTCATTATCATCAGTGCTATACAAGTAAAAAAATACAATTTATTTTAATTTAAGAATTGTAAAGCCAATATACATACATTTATGTTTCAATGTTATTTCATTTTAGAATTTAATGTTAAATAAAGGCAATATAACAGTATAAGCTGCGAGAATAAACGATCAACAAAATTCGACATTATATTCTAAAAGTTTACTTTTATATTTGTTGCCAAATAATGTAATGTTTCTGCAAGTGGTTTGATGCAAAAATTGCTATCTGATAGGCAAAGTGTACAGTTAATTCTAATTTTTATATTTGAGCTTTAACAATAAAAGTCAGTAGATAATTATAACATGTCTTATATACAGGAATTTTTTAACAAAAATTGTTGGAAAATTCAGACAAATTTCACTTATTTATTGTCATTTATATTTTTTTATTATNAACAGAGAAAACGGAACTAAAACTATCCACCCCTAAACTGTAGAGGTATGGATAACAGGTAACGTTGCTATCTTTGCTAATCACGTAAGTCTTATGATCGTAACACGTATGACTATAAAAGTAATACGTGTTACGTAGTCACTTCTATTATCTTCAGATAAGAGAGATGACGATGATGGTCTCTCACCTGTGAATCTGTTTTTTTAGTGAGTCAACATTACTTTTAACTTTTAACATTACTGGTTGGTTCATTTATGCCATTATTTTGTTTTGATAGCTTCGGCTCGTGAGGGATGAGGGATGCTTTCTTGTTTTCACTATGAATAACCGTTGAGATAAATCTTATTTATCCTTACATACACAAACCATTTTTATTTATGAAATTTAAAAAACATAGTCTGCAGCAGGTAATTAAATAGTGTTATATATAACAGAGGAAAAGTATGGCGATCGGTAAAAAATGACTCTCTTGCAAGGTTTTTACATTATTTCTGAACGTTCAAACGTTCAGAAATGAAAAAAAATGGAGATATTTTTATGTAGGTATAAATATGGAGATCGTTTTTGTTTAACCAATTTGTAGCTTAATAACTCCTGTATTTTTTGTCTAAAATTTTTGAAATTTTTCAATAACGTTTGTTTATTAGGGGGATTGATGCTATTAAATTTTGGTGGTTAAAGATCATGGAGGTTTGGAGATAAAAGGAGACAAGTGTCATTTCTACAGTAGAAACGGAATAAATAAAGAATTTACCTGTTATTAGCATCTACAATGTTTTATAAAACTTGTCTCTACCTCCAAGTTAAGTATTTTGCTACTTTACGATAATTAATCGTATAAAAAGTTTTTAAATAAAATTTCCTAACAGATGGCGCGCATATAATTTTAAAAGTTTTTGCCAGGAAAGTTATGCAACTGGTTGCATAATATTTTAATTATGTAAGAGTTTTCTGAACAAAAATGATTGATAACTAAGACTAGGAGTCTTTTAGTACTCATTAACACTTAGCTGCCATAATAAATAATTAAAAGTTCTAAAGAGATAAATCATTAGACACTTACATGAAAATTTAGTGTAAATAATTGTAATTTGCTTTACATATTTATCCATAGGAGTTTCTTTATATAACTTAATTTTAAAAACAATAAAAACAGGGGTAAGACACACTGAAGACATCTATTTATATTTGAAAATTATAGTTGTAATGCAAAGTTCTTGTGATAAGCCACAAGCACTTTTTCTAAGTTACCGCTTACACAATCCTTTTTATTTTCTAACAAATATTTTCAAGCGAAAGAAACATTTCCGTACTGTACATAATGGGATATATATACTCGTTGATGTACACAGAATTGGTCATACTTGAATGCCCCTATTCAATTTGCAAAATACTGAAGTCTGCTATAGAGATATAAGTTCCAAAAAAAATATCTACAATTTTATTTATTGTTAGCGAATCGGGATTCTTTTTCACAATTTGCTGTAACTGTGGCTGCAACTATGCCAGGAGAGACTATTCTTAATATCATATATATCAACATCACTCACGAATAGCATTTTTATGCTTTCCAGTTCAGTATATCAATTGCAATTTTTGCAAAATAGATTCGTGCGTTCGCCAAGTCTATCTGCTTCGTCGAAACAGCAAGTCATAGCAAGTTTTGCACCTTCAATTGTTTCAGCTTTGTGAGAATGATATATTTGAATCACCTGAGAATGAAATCTAAAAAAAAAACAATCAGTCGGTCACTTGACTTAATAATGCATTTTATCTCACCGACTATCTACTACTTTCATTTGTTTTGCGTGCTTTGTACCCAAACGAACAAAGAGGCTTTGGCTGAGGAATGTTGAAAGAGTTTTTCTAAACGTTTCTTGAGGCTCATATCAGAAACATTTTTTCTACTGATTCTATCAATGCATTTGTTAGAGGAAAGCGAATCCTTATATTTACGGCTAATTGATAGAGACCATGAGAACACAAGAAATATTGAGCATATTTGGATCAAGAACTTTATGTATATTCCAAACCTTCAGCAGCTGGTAAACATTGTCTGTGATAAAAATATTTTTGCACTCCATACAAAACAGTGCAGATTTATAGATCTACAATTTTTCAAATTGCAAGATTGCAATTTGCAACTTAATGACGTTCATTTTGCATAATGAATCACAAATTTGTTTGTATATCTTATGAATATAACTCTCGTTGTTTGAGGCCCTTCAATTTAGCGTCAGCCGGTGTAAAAAAACAATATGATGTTTGAAAGTTTAATTGTAGTGTATTAGAAAACTGAGTATGATATTACTAAATGCGAATATTGTAAATATTCAGTTAAAATATTCTATAGTACATTTTATTAAATTTGTAAATGTTTATAAAACTGACTAGCTGCAAGGACCCGCTTCGCTGGGTTTTTATTTGTATGTAATATAGTTTTTTTTATATATATAAAAGACTGTTTTTCTAAGTAATCTAGAATCTAGCTGCAAGGACCCGCTTCGCTGGGCAAAAAGTAACGATAGTGAAAATTAAGATAATTACATTATAGCCAATCTTACCCGTTTTCACAGAATGCAAGAATTACGTCCCCCGTTCCAGACTAATTAGTGAATTTTTACGTTCAGTCAAAAGAACTATTTTCAACGTTTCTGAAACGTTTACAATCGTTCTATAATCGAACCAATATTCGAATTTTATGTTCGAATTAAATTCGAACAAATTCGAACAAAACATTCGAAATAGAAAGCCACTTTTAACCACTTTCAAGCCCATATCTCCCGCACCCTTATAGCTATCGAGACGCAACTACCCCTATGCACGAATGGAGACTTGGGGCTACCACCACATACAAACACCATTCACGTACGATGTGTAGTTTTTGCGGAAAAGTGAAATATAGGGACATACATGTCAATTTATATATATATATATATATACTAGCTGCAAGGACCCGCTTCGCTGGGTTTTTATTTGTATATCTATATAGATATAGGGGAGACCGGGGCAACTTCGGCATGCGGGGCAAGTTTGTCAAGCGCTTTTTTTTAAAAACAAATTAAAAGGAGACTTTGGTTATAGGTTAGGCAGTTGAGTTTTATTGGTGGCTTGTTGAGTGTAGTGTTTTTATTGTTCTCCAACAAGCGTAGTTGAATTATCAAGCAAATTTTCATTTTCGTTC